GTTTTAATAACAAGCTTTTATGTAATGATGCACTAAAAAGTAGAAAATAAATTATACACTACTATTTAAATGACTATAAAGAAAAGCGTGGGTCACTTTAGTACTTTAGTAACTATTGGATACCTTTACTAATATTTGAGAAGAGACCCACGCTTTTCTTTATAGTAATTTAAATAGTAGTGTATAATTTGTTTTCTACTTTTTAGTGCATCATTACATAAAAGCTTGTTATTAAAACGTTTTTTATGAAAAAAATTTCAGTACTTTACATGTTTTATTTACAATAATGTTACATGACTAAAAACCATTGCGCGTCTATTGAACGTGATGGCGCAGCTATTAAACCTGATGGCGCAGCTATTGAACGTGATGACGCGTGTGGTGTGGTTGGATAGACATGCCTACTAATTCGGTCCAAATTTAAATTAATTAATAAAAAATTAATTAGGCATCCAATTCAGTCAAATTTAATATCAGATTGCATTGTCTTCATGTCTTGACCCATGTACCAACTAAGAACCGTATCTGTCAGTTAGAAGTGTCCGAATTTCGCTCCGGCGTTTTGATCTAGACAGACAGAGGAAGTGAGTTAAATAAAAGCTTGTAAAAATAGCTAGTTTTAGAACTTACAGCATAAGTTTTAGTAGCTATATTTGCCGGAGTTTAGTATGTTTGGGTGGTTTTTAAGTATTTAGGTAAGGTTTTTTTTCCCCAGAAAGGTTAAAAAATTACTTAACTCTACTCAATGTTCAATGTTATAATATATAGAGTAAAAAACAAATCAACAGCACAGCACAGTTGCACAACTCAATAACATTGGAACATGACACATATTACAGCAAAGCACAGCATGACACAACATGAAACATGATAGAAATAAAATGACATAAAACACAACTAAAATATTTCACACACAAAAAACACAAAAATAAATTTAAAAGTTTAAATAATAAGCTTTTATGTAATGGTGCACTAGAAATGAGAAAAGGATTTTAAAAAAAAAAACATATACTAATGATAAAATGATGAACTAAATATTAGTAACGGTATTCAGTATAAAATATAGAAACCCACGTTTTGTTGTTATTTTTTTTAAAGTTATTTAAATGGCAGTTCATCATTAAATATTTAAAGAAAACCATTTTAGAGCATAATTTAATAAAATCTAAAAGCGTCTTATAAAACGTTTAATTGATTTTTTCCAGTACTTTTATAATTTTAATGCAATAGAGTTGCATGACTAAAAATAAATTGCGTACCAAATGAATAGGAACAATGTGCGTATAACGGTGCGGTAAGTAGTACTTTATGTAGAAAATTTTAAGTACTTCTTTATAAAGAAGTTAAGTATCCAATTAAGTCAAATTTAATGTCAGACTGTAGTGTCATCGTGCCAAGTTTCAGATAAATTATTCGGTTATATCAGGTCGAAATTTCGCTAGCAATTTTCGATTGAGACATTACGAGGAAGCAAGTTAGGATAAAAACTTGTAACAAAAATGCATTAAAAACTTTTTAATAACAATCTTTTATTTTATACTAGCGTACCCGTCCCCGTGCGTTGCCGCTGGAATAGAAGAAAGTCCATCGAAATATAGAGGTAGGTTTCATCCATGCGTTACCAATCCTATATTCTTAGACGCGTGACCTTGTTTTCTAAAAGTGAGTTATGTAAATGTAAACAATGCCTGCGCTTGGATCATAATCAATGGGACACTGGTCATGGACGTAGAAGGGCGTTCTCAGGAGCCACCCCCCCCCCCCCGATTACACTATCGCATAGGCGCAGCGTACGGCCCCTGGCTACATAAAACAGTGCTCATAGGATAACCCAGAGTGCCAAATAGCATCCTGTTAACAATGATGCAAATTTCGTCATTCGCTAAAGTGAAACAAATGATTAGCATTTTTTCTTTAACACGTAAAAAAAATATTTGACGTGTTTTAAACATCAGTGTGACCAGAGGCGTAGCGAGGGGTGGGGGGTGCGGATCGCAACGGGCGACACCATTTAGGGGGGTGACACCAAGGCAAAAAATAGCAAAATATATAGAGAAAAACTTGAGGGGGTGCAAATCGAAAGTTCGAGGGGGGGGGGGTGCAAATCGAAAATGTGAAAGTTTGTCCCCAGGAAGGGTCGCTACGCCTCTGGGGGGGGGGGGGGGGTGACACCATTAAGTGCCGCACCGGTTGACACCCGACCTCGCTACGCCAATGAGTGTGACTGATGCAATATGTTAGCTTTACTAATGGTCTATTATTAGATTCTTGATCTCAATTTCTGATTGGACTGTCTAAAAATAGATGCCAATTGCATCATGCGCAAAGTGACGAAACTGTTTGGATTTTTTTACGGACAAAAAGAAACATCCAAGTTAATAATCTAACCTTGGTTAATTTTTCCGATTATTAAAATAAAACGTATTACATGGTAATCAGCGGCCCGTGTGAGCCTTTGGGGGCCGAAACAGACATTTTTATTTGCAGCCTAACCAGGGCGCCAGAGGACACACCTGATTCAATTTAGTGAGCGCTTGTAACGCCCCATCCTATCCATTATCTATCACACTGTTTAGACCGAACGTAGTCACCATATCGCTCACGGGAAAGACCAGGGCGCCAAATCGCATCCTGCTGGGGGGCCGCCCATGCAAAATTAAATTTCCCCGCCCTCACCACCCACCCATCCAAAAACCTTCTCGGAAGTATTCATCAACTCCCTAAAGTTTTATGGCACCGGGATAAATTGCGTCGACCCGTATATTGAGAAAAATCCCACAGATTCTAGATCTAGAACCTAGAAAAGATAAATCCCATGCATTCTCGAAGTAGATGATCATTGAAGCTAAACAAAGATTTATATAAAATAATTAAGGCCTGAAATAGATTCTAGATGTAGAATTTACATTAAGTCTAGATCTAAAATTTA